AATCATACGTTATTCTTATTTCAAACATCTCTACGTAGCACCTCCTCAGTTAGGCAGCCAAAATTGGCCCGTCAGAGTGTTTCCGTCAGTTACCTGTCTTGTCTTTGTAATTTTACCTTACTGCAGTATATCCAGTCGAATGCGTGCATTGTTTTTAATAAGAGCATGAGAGACAATCCACAATTGACGTTACGCATGGACAGGGAGGTGATGAAACGTGACGTAGGCGTAATACGGGAGGTGGGGAAGCTTTGGATGGCGTAAAATTACGCTCAGATGTGGCTGCAAATAATACGCAAATATTTCGAAGAAATTGAAACTTAGAGCAGAATATCTTTCGATTCGTTTCATGGTGACGAACACCACCATTTGTCCGTATCTCTAGCTCAGTGAGGGACCAAACTGGAGTCGTCTTTTAAGGTCGTTGCGCTTAACATAGCATTACCAACAGAAGACGGTTCGCCCATCATAACAAGTGCGTAACCATGGAGGGGTTTAAAATAGCGACCCTGCCCTTTCAAGGACGCACCCTAGTGCAATCACCCACGCATCGGTGTTTGGGTCAATAGAAAAAGGCTGAAAAAGTACGGGCGTGGATAAGGGCGGCACCACGGCTTGGAGAAGGGAGGCATATTTTTCAGAGGTCCTCCGGCAGATTAACTGGGGCCTCCTCGCGGGGCTTCGTGGGCAGTGTCATTTTCAGCAGCGGGGGGGGGGGGGGGGGGTTGGCACCGAAGGCACCTGCCCTGTAATAAGTTGTCATTGATCAATAGGTGTATACAGATGTCCATGTGATTAATCTTCATATTAAAATCCAGAGTGAGTGGCGCTTTCTGTTTAATACAAGAGACCTCTCAATCCAGCAGAGAGCCTCGTTATCTTAAAGCCGGGAAACCCTTTCCTAAGATTGCCTCATTACGGATGCCTCCACTGGGGCATGTTTATCTCTGTGCACTGCGGAGATCACAGTAATACGTCAGCGCGGTGATGTGTGCCCGAACAAACGCTATCGTGAACGAATGGCCGGTACGGGGGTCGAACCCATGACATTCGCGTTATTAGCACGACGCTCCGACCAACTGAGCTAACCGGCCGGCGTGACCCCGCAAGGCTGCCTAAGTTGTGAGCTGATTGGGGGCTCCTCTGCTTGGTCCTTATCTTGCGATGCAATCATATTTTGTGTTACTATTTTGAACAGTTCTTCGCAGCATTTATGCTGTGTGGGCAGCCTAAAATTGACCGCTCGGGACGCCTGTTGCTCGCGACTCTTTGTCGTTTTCCCAATTGCAAAGCAGAATCGTGGCTCAAAGTTCGCTGATAGGCATTTGAAAATAGCTGTTACCAAAAGGACAGATACGAATGCATGCTGTGCTCTATTGGGTGTCATGGGACTTTTGACTTCACTGCCACCACCGCATTCAAACATGGGAGCCGTTTACTAAGATCAGCTTGTTGATGACTTTTTGCATTTATGTGATTCGTTGATGCTTCTTTCCAGCGTTGACCTAACGGTGATACCGTGTAAACCACGCAAAACAATGTCTTTGGTAAAAGAGCGCACCGCATCGTAAAACAGGCACTGTATGTCAAACAGGGCATGGTATTGTGTCGCAAAACAGGGCACGCATGTATTTTGAGTTGAAATGAACAGTAAGAGATATCAGCGCATTTTTGGAGCAACCCGATCAGATTTCGTCTTGTAGCACCTTTGCGATCAGCGGGTGTCTTCAGCGCCACCCTCCCCCTACCACTAGGCCCCATATCCATAACGAACATAAGAGTGTGGCGGAGAGGGAAAACAAGAAGAGTTTAGTGATTTCAGATTGTTAACTGCATCGTCCTGAACACCCCAACAGCAGCAAAAGCAATACACTGCCCAATGGCCGACTGTCCAAACACGCAGATTCATCGACAGCAGTCGCGGAACCGAACTCCAATATCACCCTCCATTGATTATGTTGTACTATCGCTTGAAAGAGCGATCACAGGGGGCAGTAGATTCGTAAGAAGCTATACGTTGTTGTAACGCCAGTTTTATCCCAAGGCGCAGGTGGATCACGACGGCATCGAATTTGAATCAATACTGTAATACAGAACCAACAATAATAATAATAAAGCAGAATTGTATCGCAAGATAACAGCAGGGCAATAAAACTGAATGATTTCACAACTGAGGCAGCCTTACGCACCAACAACGGCCGTTGCTGTATCAGTGGTTTGCAAGACTAAATCTGGTCAAGTCGTACCAAAAATGCGCTGATATATCTTACCGTTCATTCAAACGCAAAACCCACACATGCCCTGTTTTACGGTACCATGCAATGCCTCGTTTAATGATACGATGCTCTCTTTTAGGATGAACATTGTTTTGCAAGGTACCACCGTAAGGCCACCGCTGGGAAGACGCGTAAACGAACCAGCGAAATACAAAAGTCACCAACAAGCCAGTACTAGTACATGGCTCCTATATTTGCACGCGGTGACAGCAGTACAGTGAATCAAACTTTAAAAAGCAAAGCATGTGTTCGTATCAGCCCTTTTGGTATCGGCGGGCCCTGTGCCGCGATTCTGCTTTGCAATCAGGTAAAACGAGAAAGGAACGTGAGTGGAAGACACCCTGAGTGGTCAAATTAGGCTGGCCATATCGCGACATATAATTGTATGACAAGATAAGACCAGAGCAGAGCAGCCCCCAGCAGGCTACAAATTAGGCGGTCTCAGGCGAGAGGCGAGAGCGTCGTGCTAATAACGCGAAAGTCATAGGTTCGACTCCCATACTGGCCATTCGTTTATGTTCGCATTTGTTCGGCCGCACCTCATCGCACTGGCGTATTACTGTCGTCTCCGCAGTGCGCAGTGGACAAGCATGTCGCAATGGAGGCATGCACAAGTGTGCATGCTTTGAAACGGGATGTTCCTTACCATGAGAAGAAGCCCACGGCATCCCGCAGTAAGTTTCAATTTCTTTAAAACATTTTAGTATGATTTGCAGCAACACCCGAGCGTAAATCTGTCATACAATTTTCATCTGTCCCCTTATTACGCTGACATTATTTTGCGTATCCTTCCCTCGCCATGCCTAGAGTAAGTTATGGACCATCCCTTAAAACCCTCCAGAAAAAGAAGGAATGCATTCGACTAGGTATACCGCAATGCGGTAAAATGACAAAGACGGGTGGCTGACGGACAAACCCTGACTGCCCAGTTTCGCCTGCCTAACTGAATAACTGCTGCGGCGAACTGTTTTAATTAATAATAGAAAATATAATTGTTTCTCACGATAAGAGCAGAGTACAAAGGCCGAAGGATCTCACAGCTCAGGCAGCCCTAGGCGCAGAACGTCGGCCGGTCGGCTCAGTTGGTTAGAGCGTCGTGCTAATAACGCGAATGTCATTGGCTCGACTCCCACACTGGCCATTCGCCTATGATGAGTCATTTGACCATCACCGGTCGGCAGCCATACTGTTATCTCTAAGGTGATGGATGTGGTCTAACCCGTGCTTTTGTGGTCTAAACGCTCATAAGATGCTCAAAGTGCGCGCCAAACATTTCATAATGTAGTTTGTATAACAAGGTCGCTATGATAAAAACGCACCGTCGAATCTAACCAAGCATGACGATGCCAAAATTATCGCCAGCCAAATGCAATCTCTTTTGTGGTCTACACACACCGAAGACAGACAACGTATGCGCTGGATATTGCATAACGTACTTTCTACAAAAATAGGTGTTTATAATGGAAACCCCTCCAACCTCATTAGGCAAGACGTTGTTAAAGGTGCCGCTAACCATACGTCTAGACTCAAAACATGGATCCCACGGTTCGGATGCTATCACTGCAGGCTCTTGCAAGATTCGGACTTCACATGTGGTATTCAGTCCAGACACATATCTAGGCCATGCAGTGCCGGACGCGAAGTTTTATCATAGGATACCTGCTGCCTGAGAAGAACGAGTGTGGGGGAGAGGTAAACCAAGCAGAGGCAAGTGATGTCAGAGTTAACAATGTCGTCCTAAAAACGCCCCGACAACATTAAAAGCGACGCAATGCCCACTGGCCGGCTGCTCGCACGCACAGATTCGACAGCTGTCGCGGGAACCAAACTCCAATATTGCCCTCTACTGTATTCTGTTGTACTATCGCTTAAGGGAGCGATTACAGGGAGCAGTAAACTCGTACGAAGCTTTGCAATGGCGCAACGCCAGTTTCACCCAAGGGCTCGGGTGGATAACGGCGGCATCGCACTTCCATCCATACTGCAATAAAGAGCGATCAACAATAATAACTATAAATTTGCATCGCAAGGTAAGAGCAGAGCAGAGTACCTGAATCATCTCACAACTTAGGCAGCCTTCAGCATCAACAACGGTCGTTGCTGTATCAGCGGTTTAGAAGATTTAATCTGGTCAAAACATTCGCTGATGTATTTTACTTATGTCTACTCAGTACTTATGTCAACGCCATAAACCGATACACGCCCTGTGCTATGGCACAATACAATACCCCGTTTTTAATATAATACCGTTTTACATACAATGCCCGGTTGTATGTGCAATGCCCTGTTTTACGATACAATGCCCTGTTTTACGACAACCATGGCGGACATGGTATCGCCACGACAGGCACCGCTGGAAAGAAGCGTCAACGAACCACGTAAATGCAAAGTAACCAATCCGCCAGCACCAGTAAACGGCCCCAATATTCCCATGCAGCGACAGCGGTGAAGTCAAAAGTCCCATGGAATCCAATAAGGCACAGCATGTTTCTCATCCGAAGTTTGATGATTTTTATTTTTAAATGCATGCCAGCAAACCACAAGTCACGGTTCTGCTTTACAATAAAGAAACGCGAGTGACAGACGCCCTGACCGACGATTTTAGGCCGCCCAAATGAATAGATATTGCAAAGACATGTTTAAATGACCATACCACGTAAAACTGTACAGAGCAGAAGAGCCCCAAGCCGCTAACAGCTTAGGCAGTAATAGGCACAAAATGCGGGCCGGTTAGCTCAGGTTAGCTCTTGGCTAGAGCGTCGTGCTAATAACGCGAATGTCATGGGTTCGATCCCCACACTGGCCGTTCCTTTAAGATTGCACACGTTCGCGACCTCACCACCACACGTACGTATTAGCGTTACTTCTACAGTGCACAACGGACAAACGGGCCCCACTATCCAGAGGGAAAGTGGGGCCCGATAGATAGAGGAATGCAATTTCTTCGGAACGGAATGCTCCGTTTTACGATAAGCAGATCCTTTCTAGGACTGAGAGTCCCCTATATTAAATAGAATGTCCTACTCTGTATTGTTATTGTTGAGGTTTATTCATACCGGTAACAACTTATTCATCACATCAGTCTTTCCGCATTACTGATCTAGACACCGAATGTTTGGGTTATTGCATTAGGGTGCATCCAATAAATTTCGTTGCGCAGTTTTCGTTATGTTCAGCCCTCTTCCTGGTTACGCACAGGTTGCAATGGGCGAAACCCCGGTCTCTTGGTTATGCTGAATTAAGAGTAACGACCTAACTTGTGGCTGCCTCACTGAAAACGTGCAGCAAAAGCTGTTAAAACGATAATAGAAAATATGATTCCTTCGTAAGAAAACAGCAAAGCAGATGGCCAGAAGAATCTCACAACTTAGGCAGCTATGGAGAGCGAATGCCGGCCGGATAGCTCAGTTGGTTGGAGAGTCGTGCTAATAACGCGAATGTCATGAGTTCGACCCCCATACTGGCCACTCGTTTATGATTGCAGTCATTTGACCATCACCGACCGGCGGTCAAACTGTGATCTCTCCCTTCACGGATCTCCACACCCGCGCTTTTGTGGTCTATACGCACCTAAGACACACAAAGTGTGCGCCAAACCTTGCATAACGTACTTTGTATACAAATAGGTCGTTATAATATAAATACGCAGTCGAATCTAAGCATGACTATGCCAGATTTCCCGCCACCCAAATGCAATGTCCTTTTGTGGCCTACACGCACAAAAGGACTACGTATCCGCTGGATATTGCATAATATAATTCCCACAAAAAGTATTCATAATCTAATCTAATCAGGCAAGACGACGTTAAAGTTGCCGCTAGCCCTGTCTGGACCCAAAACATGGATCCCACGGTTCGGATCCTGCCACTGCAGGCTCTCGCAAAATTCGAAATTCACACATGGTATCCAGTCAAGACATATCTAAGCCATGCAGTGCCGGACACGAAGCTTTATCGTGGCATAATTGCTGCCTAAAAAGATATTGTTAGGGAGAGGTCAACCAAGCGGAGGCCAGTGATATCAGATAGTTAACTGCGTCTTCCTAAACACCCCGGCAACAGCAAAAGCGACGCACTGCCCACTGGCTGCCTGCTCGCATACACAGATTCATCGACAGCAGTCGCGGAACCAAACTCTAATATCCCCCTCTGTTGTATTCTACTGCACTATCGCTTAAGAAGGCGATCACAGGGGACAGCAGATTCGAAGGAAGCTATGCAGTGTCGCAACACTAGTTTTATCGCAAGGCTCAGGTGGATCACGGCGGCATCGGACTTCCATCAATACTGTGATAAAGAGCCAATAATAATAAAAACAGAATTGTATCGTAAGATAAGAGCAGAGCAGAGGAGCTGAATGATCTCACAACTTAGGCAGCCTTAAGCGCTAACAACGGCCGCTGTTGTATCAGTGGTTTACAAGACTAAATCACATCATGTCGCTCCAAAGATACGTTGGTACGCTGGTAGGGTTAAAATAGCGAAACTGCGGAACCAAATTTATGAAAATTTTGAAATCTGTGAAATTTTACGCGCCCTAACGCAATCACCCCCACATGCGGCGTCTAGGTTAATAACGCGCAAAGACTGGCAAAAAAAAAAACAGCCTTTCATAAGGGCAGCTCCACGGATCTAGTGAACTGGATGCATGAATTGTTGTCCTGGGTCGTCCTTGAGACGAACTGATCTCTTCATAGGGGCTCACAGGACAGTGACACCGTCTGCACAAGTGCAATCATAAACGAATGGCCAGTATGGGGGTCGAACCCATGACATTCGCGTTATTAGCACGACGCCCTAACCAACTGATCTAACCGGCCGGCGTTTGATACCAATAGCTGCCTATGTTGTGAGCGCCCTGGGGCTTTTCTGCACTGTACAGTTGTATGTGGTATGATCATTTAGAAACGTTTTCGCAGTACCTTTTCACTTGGGCAACCTAAACCTCAATCCTCTAGACAGTCAGGACCACCTCTAGTCTGGACCCAAAACATGGATTCTACGGTTCGTATCCTGTCACTGAAGGCTTTTGCAAGATTCGAAGTTCAAACACGGAATCCAGCCCAACAAACATATAGTCCGTGCAGTACCTGACACGAGGTTTTATCAAGGAATACTCGCTGCCTGAGAAGATGGAGCGTGGGGAGGGGGGGGGGAGGCGAACCAAGCAGAGGCAAGTGATTTCAAATAACTAACTGTGTCGTCCGAACAACGTCCCCATAACAACAAAAGCGACGCACCGCCCACTGGCTGGCTACTCGCATTCACAGATTGATAGACAGCTGTCGCGTGAACCAAACTCCAATATCACCCTCTATTGTATTCTGTTGTACTATCGCTTAAGGGAGCAATCACAGGGGGCGGTAGATACGTAATAAACTGTGCGATGCCGCAACGCCAGTTTCATCCCAAGGCCAAGGTGCACCGCGGCGGCATCAAACTTTCATCAGTACTTTGATAAAGAGCCAACAACAATCATAAAAAACCGAATCGCACTGCAAGATAAGAGCAGGGCAGAGGAGCTGAATGATCTCACAACTTAGGCAGCTGTACGCGCCCAAAACGGCTGTTGTATCAGCGGTTTACAAGAAACCTGGTCCAGTGGTTTCAAAACGTTTCTGATACATTGTACTGCTTGCTTCAACATCATAAGCCCATACATACCCCATTACATACATACATACCATTGTAGTGTGTTACGACACACTACAATGCCCTGTTTTGACGCGCTTGGCTGGGGGGTCAAATTGACCCCCCGGAAGGTTTTCCCGGAATGGTTTCCGAACGGCGCGGCGTAGCCGTGTCAAAATTTGTATAGCTGTAGATAATTGAATAGCGGATAGTCTGACATCAAAACTTTAGATGTACCTTGGAATGCTGCTGACCTATGGCAGGGCAAAGCCAGGCCTTGGTTTCAGCGAAGGCATGTTCTAGGGAATCTTCAATCCGAACAAACAACGGAGGTTTAGACGAAGCCATACATCTCTGAGATCCTCTCTTAGGCACCACGACTTTTGAATAAAGAAAAGGCATTAACCTAGGGTCAGGTATGAAGGTCAGACCAAGGTCAAAGCCAACCTGCTTTATTACTCTCGGGCTTGCTGCATGGGCTGGTTTCTGGTGCTCATTTCGAATATACTGATAGCAGGAGCCGCATGATACACCTTCCATGGACTTATTTTAGGCCAGAATGGGTCACTGACCTAATATTATTCAAGTCAACATCCTGTTTTTAAGAACATACTACCTAGCGTAATCTTCGTTGCTTATCCAGATGCAAAACCCAAAGCAGTTTTATATCATTTTTGTCATCAGTACCTCTGAAAGGTCAAACGAGGTCGTTGACCTTATCTGCGCGTGTGACATTTTGCTCATAACAGTTGCCTAGGTTCTAGGGGCCCTTTGGAGACCAATCTGGAATATGACCCTGTTTGACCTTATTTGACCCGAAGGCCATAATCAAGGAACTTCAAACTTTGGCCCAAGAGAGCTTCCGTACAGGTCAATAAAGCTTGTGAATTTTGTGTCTCTAGCTCTCTTAGTTCCCGAGTTCTCTGGGGGGGTCAAATTGACCCCCCTTCCCCCAACCGAGCGAAGGGCATCTTTCCAACCGGCCACCCAGGCGCGTGTTAAATACAATGTCCGGTTTTATGATACGATGCCCTCATTTTTTCAAGGTATCGCCATAAGGCCAACGCTGGAAAGAAGCGTCAACGAACCAGCTAAACGCGAAGAATCACCAACAAGCCAGTACTAGTCAACGGCTCCCATATTTGGCGTTAAGCTAAAAGTTCCATCATACCCAATAAAGCACAGTATGTATTCGTATCTACCCTTTTGATAATAGCCATTTCCAGACGCATATCAGCGAACCTTGAGTCGCGGTTCTGCTTTACAATAGGGTAAAACGGCAAGACACGCAAGCGACAAACGCCCTGAGTTTGCCCAAAGTTTGAGCCTGCCCAAACAGAAAACATGATACGAAGACCTGTTTGAAGCATAACACAAAATGTAATTGTATCGCAAGATAAGAACAGAGCAGAGGAGCCCCAAGCAGCTGACAAATCACGCAGCCTTGAGCATATGCGGGCCGGTTAGCTCAGTTGGTTAGAGCGTCGTGCTAATAACGCGAATGTCATGGGTTCGACCCCCATACTGGCCATTCGTTTATGATTGCAGTCATTTGACCATCACCGACCGGCGGTCAAACTGTGATCTCCCCCTTCACGGATCTCCACACCCGCGCTTTTGTGGTCTATACGCACCTAAGACACACAAAGTGTGCGCCAAACATTGCATAACGTGTTTTCTATAAAAATAGGTCGTTAATAATATAAATACGCAGTCGAATCTAAGCAATGACTATGCCAGATTTCTCGCCAGCCAAATGCAATATTCTTTTGTGGTCTACACACAGAAAAGACAGACTACGTATGCGCTGGATATTGCATACTATAATTCCTACAAAAAGTATTCATGATCCTTTATATATATATATATATATATATATATATATATATATATATATATGTATATCAATTCCTACAATCTAATCAGGCAAGACGATGTTAAATTTGTCGCCAGCCCCGTCTGGCCCCAAAACATGGATCCCGCGGCTTGGATCCTGCCACTGCAGGCTCTCGCAAAATTCGAAATTCAGACGTGGTATCCAGTCAAGACATATCCAATCCATGCAGTGCCAGACACAAGGCTTTATCATGGCATAATGGCTGCCTAAAAAGATAGAGTGTTAGGGAGAAGTCAACCAGGCAGAGGCTAGTGATTTCAGATAGTTAACTGTGTCTTC